GGTATCAATCCAGTAGGAGGATCCTCAAAAGTCCCATGCATCTACACAAACTAACAAAGAACTCGCAACCAACGCAATAAAGGGGTTGTCAATCTCTTCACGGCCACTTGCGAAAGTGAGATCTGATAGAGATAGTATGATGAGATAAATATATTTTTGGTATTTTATAATATAGATGCAAAAAGTAAAGATGCAAATAAAAGTAGATTGAAATCTTATATGATAAAAGATAGACCCGGGGGCCATAGGTTTCACTAGTGGCTTCTCTCAAGATAGCATAGGTATTACGGTGGGCGAACAAATTACTGTCGAGCAATTGATAGAAAAGCGAATAATTATGAGATTATCTAGGCATGATCATGTATATAGGCATCACGTCCGCGACAAGTAGACCAACTCCTGCCTGCATCTACTACTATTACTCCACACATCGACCGACTCCTGCTTGCATCTAGAATATTAAGTTCATAAAGAACAGAGTAATGCATTAAGAAAGATGACATGATGTAGAGGGATAAACTCAAGCAATATGATATAAACCCCATCTTTTTATCCTCGATGGCAATAATACAATACGTGCCTTGCTACCCCTGCTGTCACTGGGAAAGGACACCGCAAGATTGAACCCAAAGCTAAGCACTTCTCCCATGGCAAGAAAGATCAATCTAGTAGGCCAAACCAAACTGATAATTCGACGAGACTTGCAAAGATAACTCAATCATACATAAAAGAATTCAGAGGAGATTCAAATATTTCTCATAGATAAACTTGATCATAAACCCACAATTCATCGGATCTCGACAAACACACCGCAAAAAGAGTTTACGTCGAATAGATCTCCACAGGAGAGGGGGAGAACATTGTATTGAGATCCAAAAAGAGAGAAGAATACATCTAGCTAATAACTATGGACCCGAAGGTCTGTGGTAAACTACTCACAACTCATCGGAGGGGCTATGGTGTTGATGTAGAAGCCCTCCGTGGTCGATTCCCCCTCCGGCAGAGCGCCGGCCAAGGCTCCAATATGGGATCTCACGGATACAGAAGGTTATGGTGGTGGAAATTGTGTTTCGTTGGCTCTCTGGATGTCTTTGGGGTACGTAGGTATATATAGGAGGAAGAAGTACGTCGGTGGCCGCCCGAGGGGCCCACAAGACAGGGGGCGCGCCCAGAGGGGGTGGGCGCGCCCTCCTATCTCCTGGCTGCCTCGACTGCTTCTTGGCTTGCACTCCAAGTCCTCTAGATCACGTTCGTTCCAAAAATCACGCTCCCAAAGGTTTCATTCCGTTTGGACTCCGTTTGATATTCCTTTTCTTCGAAATACTGAAATAGGCAAAAAAAACAGCAATACGGGCTGGGCCTCCGGTTAGTAGGTTAGTCCCAAAAATGATATAAATATGTAAAATAAAGCCCATAAACATCCAAAAGGGGTAATATAATAGCATGGAACAATCAAAAATTATAGATACGTTGGAGACGTATCAGTGAAGAAGCTAGAGTATTCAACCCAAATTTGTTGATTCGACACAAGGGGAGCCAAAGAATATTCTCAAGTTCTAGCAGTTGAGTTGTCAATTCAACCACACCTGGATAACTTAGTATCTACAGCAAAGTATTTAGTAGCAAAGTAGTATGGAAGTATCGGTAACAATGATAAAAGTAACGGTAGTAGTTTTGTGTTAATTGTAACAGAAGCAAAGGTAAAGTAAATAAGCAAAGCACAATATGTGAAAAGCTCGTAGGCATTGGATCAGTGATGGATAATTATGTCGGATGCGATTCCTCATGTAATAGTTATAACATAGGGTGACACAGAACTAGCTCCAATTCATCAATGTAATGTAGGCATGTATTCCAAATATAGTAATACGTGCTTTTGGAAAATAACTTGCATGACATCTTTTGTCCTACCCTCGCGTGGGATATTAAGGCCTCCTTTTAATAGAGTATCGGGCCAAAGCATTAACACATAGTGAATAGATGAACTCCTCAAACTACGGTCATCACCGAGAAGTATCCCGATTATTGTCACTTCGGGGTTGTCGGATCATAACACATAATAGGTGACTATAGACTTGCAAGATAGGATCAAGAACTAACATATATTCATGAAAACATAATAGGTTCAGATCTGAAATAATGGCACTCAGGCCCTAATGACAAGCATTAAGCATAGCAAAGTCATAGCAACATCAATCTCAGAACATAGTGGATACTAGGGATCAAACCCTAACAAAACTAACTTGATTACATGGTAAATCTCATCCAACCCATCACCGTCCAGCAAGCCTACGATGGAATTACTCACGCACGGCGGTGAGCATCATGAAATTGGTGATGGAGGATGGTTAATAATGACGACGACGACGAATCCCCCTCTCCGAAGCCCCGAACGGACTCCAGATCAGCCCTCCCGAGAGAGATTAGGGCTTGGCGGCGGCTCCGTATCGTAAAACACGATGAAACTTTCTCTCTGATTTTTTTCTCCGCGAAAGCAAATATATGGAGTTGGAGTTGAGGTCGATGGACGTCCAGGGGGCGCACGAGGCAGGGGCGTGCCCAGGGGGAGGGAGCGCGCCCCCACCCTTGTGGACAGGGTGTGGCCCCCCTGACGTTAATTCTTTCGCCAATATTTTTTATTAATTCTGAAAAGTTGCTCCGTGAATTTTCAGGTCATTTCGAGAACTTTATTTCTGCACAAAAATAATATCATGGCAGTTCTGCTGAAAACAGCGTCAGTCCGGGTTAGTTCCATTCAAATCATGCAAGTTAGAGTCCAAAACAAGGGCAAAAGTGTTTGGAAAAGTAGATACGACGAAGACGTATCAAAGCTGATTCGCAGAATTAGCTTTGCAAGTGAAGCGAATCCATATGTGATTAAAATCTAAGTGAAGCTGAAACAAACAGGGCCTATAGTGTGTGTTTTCAACTGGTTACACTGTTCACTTTTAAATGGTTTATTCCTTTTTTCTATTTCTCTTTAATATTCTTCGGTTGTTTCCTTTATTGTTTTTTTTTCTATTTTTCCTTTTTGTTTTTCATTGCCATTTTCATTATATCTTTTGTTTTTCTCATTTTTAATATTTTCAAATTTTCTATGTTTCTTTTTTCTTCTCCTTTCTCTTTTTTATTTGTTTTCTTTGCTTATTTCTCACTTTTCTAACACATGCCTACTATTTTCACACACAATGTACATTCTTTGTATATATCAGAATTTGTTTTTTCATACACGTTTTACAGTTTTTGTATACATCTGAAACATTATTTTTTTATGCATGTTTAAACTTTTTCAAATAAAATATTAATATAGTTTTCAATTTTTTTGAAGTTAACTCTTTCTTTCATACCGTCAGTACACTTTTTATACACGTTAAATGTATACATTTCCATATACATTAATAACATTTTCCTACACATGTTTAACCTTTTCAAATGCATGATCAACGTTTTTTTGAATGTATGCTTGATGACTCCTTTTTCTCATACACATTGTGAATTTGCTGTATATATTAGGAAATTTATACATATTTAACATATTTAAATGTATGATTAACATTTTTTGATGCGCGATCAACATTTTTCTAAATTGGTGTTTTTACGTTCAAATTTTTTAATACATGTTCTACTTTTTTCATATAGACCTAGAAACATTTTTTATATATGTTTATTTTTTAAGTACGGATTTAAATGTTTCTCAAATGCATGTGTTTGATGACTACTTATTTTCATACCCATTGTTTAGTACACCAGGAACATTTTTTTATGCATGTTTAACATTTTCTAAATACGTGATTCAAATTTTTTAAATGTGTGTTGAACACTTTAGCAAAGTGAAACGGAAAAGGGAAAATAAACAAAATTTTAAAAATAGAAACAAACATAAAAACAGAAAATATAAACTATTTTTTTGCGGGGTAAATACAAACTAATTAAGAAAAGAAAAAACAGTACGTTCCGTCATCATGACGTCAGAGATTCTGGGCTGGCCCGCGAACTGGTTGCCTGCGGGCGAGGCGAGCTAGTGCCGCACACCAAGGCGAGACAATGTCGCGCCCAAATCTGCCGGCGGCCATGCCTCGATTCGCCGCGCCACCTCCCTCCCGTGCCGGCGCTGCGCTGCTGCCGTCATGAGCCGCGCAGCGAAAAGTCTCTCGCCCCTTCCTCCGCGTGATCGCATGGCCTGCCACGGCCACGGGGCCTCGCCCGCTCGGCGGCGCCGGTGGCAGGGCGGGAAACGCGGGGCCGCGGCGGCGATGCCGAGGGAGAGTAACGCGCGGCAGGGCGATCTGCGCCCCGCCAGGAACAGAGCCATGGTCGCCGCCGCGTCTGTTCGCCCGTGAAGGAAAATGGCGTTGCTATTCGATTGGGTGGTCGCGAAGAGCAGCAAGAGGGGAAGTAAATGTGCGCCTTCAGCTGCTTCCACGGTCAATTTATCTACTCTTACTAAGGAATATTTGGTGCTTGTTAATATTTGCTGTTGATTTTAAATGCTAGGTTCATGGATATGATACTTCAATCTTGAAATGCGTTTTTGCAATGTTTAGCTTCACAAGATGCATCCATCCAATTCAGATTACTGGATTCTGTTGGGTCGTCAGGTCGTAATTAGAATATAGCCTGAAGGATGCTTATTACAGTTTCGAGGCCTAGCCGTTGCTTGTGTGTATGGATCTTTGTAGCTGTCTGCCCCAAACTTATACGGGCTAGGTGCCTTTGGAAAGTCAGAACCGCAAACACATGAATCACCCAAACAGCTTTTATTTGGTTATTCGGGTTTTGACTCGTAGCAAGTACAATAATCTCGAACAGCCATTCTGAGAGACACAATCGTCTGTAAATTCACATTTCTTATACACACGGTTCACACACTAGAAGATCTTAATGGTAGATGCAGTGGTAATTCGAATTTACATCTATCCACTTCATCCTACTTTTAGGCTATGGTAACAGAGCAGGGGATGCATGACATCTTATGAGTAATCATAACTTGTATGAGACGACTAATGTGACGGGATTGAGGGACAGGAAAGGAACGGCTTCGGTGGCATCTCTAATTCGTTGATGCTCTTTTCCAACATATCAATCACCTTGCTCATCGTAGGACGGTTTCCGGGGTTAGTTTGTATGCACCACAGCCCAACTAACGCCATCTTTCTCATGGTCTCTTCAAGGCCGCAGATGACTTCACAACTTTGCACATGTTCTGCTATATTGTCATAAATCCAGTTTGGGAAATAGGCATCGCTTGAGCTCTCTATATTATCTTTTTCACCGTTTTTACGCCCCCCTACCATTTCCAGCAGCATCATTCCATAGCTATAAACATCTGACTTTGTCGAAACGACACCAAAACCTCTAGAGAATACTTCTGGAGCAATGAATCCAATGGTACCTCTTGCTTCGGGACAGAGAGGATGCTATCCTTGAGGTGACACAGTTTGGCTAAACCGAAATCTGCAATTTTGGGACAAAAATCTTGATCTAGAAGTATATTCTGAGGCTTGATGTCAAAATGGATGATGCGAGTGCTACATCCTTGATGCAAATATTCCAATCCTCGTGCGATGCCAAGTGCTATTTGCTGTAACTTGTCCCATCCAATAACTAGATCTGAATTCTCTATGTAAATATACTCTTCCAGTGAACCATTAGCCATATACTCATAAACAAGGGCTCTCTTAGCTCCTTCTAAGCAAAAACCGAGCAGACCGACGATATTAATATGGGATGTCCTGCCAATGCTAATTGCCTCATTTAGGAACTCCTCTCCATTGCCTTTGGAAACTTTTAGGAGCTTCACAGCAACCACACAGCCATCCTATAGGCTGCCCCTAAATACCGTGCCATATCCACCTTCTCCAAGTTTATCCTTGAAAGAGCTAGTCATTTGTTTCAGCTCTGAGTACTTGTACCTTTTCGGAGCCAAAGATCCATACCTCCTTAGCATTTCTTCCATGCTTGATTTATTATCAGTCTGCTTTGGGAGGATGAAAAGACTAATCTTTTGCTTCTGTCGATGCACCCCCCAAACTAGACATGTTAGCAAGCTGACTGTAGCAGACAGAGAAACTGTAAAAAAAGTGAACATCATTTAGTGAAGTTGATAGTATATCAGTATATGTATGATACTGTGTAAGCTATCCCTTTTTTAATACTGCCATTTAGAAATCTTGCAATTTCATGTCATTAAATTGGAAATCTCCACAATTTGGTTAATTTTTGACTTAGCAGTCTACAGACTGTCCGCCTTTAGATAGCATGAAAGTATCATGGAAGTGTGTGACGTAGTATGTATTTTCTTAGCAGAAGCAATGATAGACATACCTATCAAAATTAACTTGATGTTGTGCCTACCATCTGCAGTGAAATTATTATGGTTAGTCAATGTATGTATGAATCACAAAATAAAAAAACATGAAAATGAACCATTGCAATATAGAACATATGGAATTAAATGATTAAGATGATTCCAGTATAGCTGGCACATCAATTCATTTCTTTGAATTTTGTAATTTGGCGAACAATGATTCATTACAAGTTAGTTATTACATATGGTGAATCCAGACTGTAAACTCTAACAGCAATAGGATGATTTTTGTGCTGAATGGTTTGTTTAATTCATTTTTTATATGAAATATGCTGTTCTCAGTTAAAAGGGATGCGGACCACTTTCAACCAGCTTAGTACCTTGTTTAAGTTATAAAACTAAGCTCATCAAGAACTTCCTTCCAGTTTATACGTTAACAAGCTGGATAACCTTTCTTTTAAACTAATTATTATGATAGGATATAGTCTATATATGCTGATTTGACAATAAAATCGTAGAAATTCAGCTCAAACAAACAGATGGAGTCAGCATCCTCTATACAACAAATCCACAACTGGTATCTTTCAATACCTATATCTTTATGCATTAGATTTATGTAAAGGCTATTATTTACATATGTATATGCCTATATGTTACCTAATAAAGTAGACATAGTGCTACTAATAGCTGCTAATCGTACCTTGTCTTGGAAACTGATCAGGTACCACTGGCCATGATAACAGAAAACCATCCCTGATTAATTGTTCGTAATCACCTGCGTTCGCTGTCTTTGCTGATGCCCCCAGTACTGGCACAAGGGTGGTCTTGCAACCCTCTATGAAGTACTCTGCATAGTCATGAGAAGCATTGTAGGGCCCTCGTCCGAGATGAACAAATGAGTTGTTGCCACAATGCATGGGCACAAGTCCATGTCGCAGCTGCGTCACCACCGGGTTACCGATGCAATCATAGAAGAAGAGCAGATCTCGGTTGGCATGGCTGATATTGAATGGCAGAAAGCCGATTTTGACGGATGTATTGGTGATCGGAACTTGGCAGCGGTTGAAGTCCTCCATTTTGTTAATATCAGCAGCGAGGAAGGTGTGGTTCCTGTAGAAGATATTTTGGATTCCAAACCCATCGTGGATGGTGCTCCTCAGGAACGGGCTGTTTCTATAGCAGTAAACCTGATAGTCTACTAAACCACATGGCCTTTCCAGTTCTTGCTCTTGGACAAGCCAGAATGGATCCGAGATAATCAGGTTGCCACATGTCTTGGTACCGCAGCTTGCTGTTTCTTGCGCCGTGCTCATTGTTGAGTCTTGTACAGAAGATGCTAAGATCCATAAGAGTAGAAAGCTTTGGAACATGACAAATTGTTTCAGTATATGGAGGAACAGACGAGATGGTTCAGTAGAAAGGTAGGTTGCATAGTTGCCTTGTGTTTTACTCTAGTTTTAAACTGAGTATGAACACAGGTTGCTATCTTGTTGACTCAGTCTAGACTGCGCGTGAGCAATTTAGTCACTGGATGAGACTGGTCAATTAACGGGAATGAAGAGTTGGAAAGGTCTTCTTGTGACCTGGTAACAGTCATTCATCTACTGGATGGTATTTGTCGCCCTAGCTACGCAGAAATTCTCTTGAAGCCACCAGGAAATTCTACTAGCATTGGTATTTACAGTGATACACGCACAAGTTGTCAAAACTAGCTCCTTTCCTGGGCAAGTGCCAGCGATAGCAGCTGCAGTATCGCTTTAAGTTGTTGGCCGTGGGGCACAAGTTGTAGCCATGGTAGTGATGGTCAGCTATTTCCTCTTTCTTTTGGATCGTTATCAAACAACTTCGAGATGGAGCTAATGGCAATATTTCATTTTACAGAATTAACTAGCTTGTTCTTTTATTTGTAGTATTGATGGCCATCGAACACGGTTCTAGTAGTCGGCAAAGCAAGTGTCTAGTAACTGGTCCTATCTAGGTTGCATCGAAGGTATCACATCATTCCCTTCCTGTTCTCATTCACCTGACAAAAATTCATTATACAGAATGCAGATGTAACCATTCTAACTTGCAAGCTATATGCTAGTTTCAAATGAAACCTGTCGATTGCATATCGGGGAACACTGAATTACGATGCGCTTGATTAATTAATTTAAGAATATACTCTTACAGTCCTGCCACTTTCTCAGGGAGTTAGCAATTATTTCAGGAATGAATTCACAAACCTTGCCTCCTGAAGCTGTAGCTGTAGCACTCCACTAAAAAGAACTTGTTATGCCTTGCCAGGTCTTGGTAGAGCTAACACTTTCTATGTTTATATTGCAAATTGGATCTTCACTGAACGGGAGAGAAAAGCATAACTCTGGTGGCTCTTGCTGGGCAGCTACAACTGCTGACAATGACTGCACGCCATTGAAAGGTGCCAAGAGAGCTTTCACATGTCATTGTAATGCAAGTCGACTTGCTTCTGGGTGGTGTGCCGGTGGCACGGTGAGAACAAGAACATGTACTATTTTGGTCATGTTTACTTTTCTCTCCGCCAACACGTTGGGGTTATTGCAAGTTGTCAGCAACACCCTGGCAGCACTTATTGACTAGAGATGAGATTGTTCAGTCCATGCACTGTGCAGATGTTTCTCTTGTTTTGAAAAATCAACGTTTCTAAAAGGGTTTCAGTCTAAATATGTTTCTCTGACCCGTTGTGTGGTTCAGAATTCGGAGAAGGCCTTGAAGAAACTCGTTGATGCTCTGATGATCAAATCCATCGATTAACCCTAATATCAGTTTGAAGGCAACTCTTCAGACTGGTAATTACATTCTTACTTTCTAAATCCTAAATACGAAAAATACAAGGAGGTTTAAACTGTAACCCTGAGAATAATTACATGTACACTGCTGCAATATTTTTTGAAAAATATTGTTTCAGCATGCACTGATGCATATCATGGTGAAGGCATCATAACTTGGACAGATGCATAAGATGAAACTGTTGTCGAGTGCACTGGAGAACAGAGGAATGGCCGGGGAGGCATCTCCAATTCACCCATCTTCCTCTCCAACATCTCTATAACCCTGCTCATGGACGGGCGGCTTTCAGGGTTCATCTGTATGCACCACAATCCAACCAAGGTCATCTTTCTTACAATTTCTTCAGTTCCATATTTGGCTTCAGATCCATGCAACTCACTCGCCAAATTATCCCAAACCCAATGTGGAAAAAATGTTTCACTAGAGCTGTCTGCCTTTCCTTTCAGATCCTTCTTCCCTTGGACCATTTCTAGGAGCATCATCCCGTAGCTGTAAACATCTGACTTTGTCGAGACGACCCCGAAACCCCTAGAGAACACTTCTGGTGCGATGAAACCAACCGTCCCTCTCGCTTCAGCCATTGAAAGGACGCTGTCCTTCAGGTGGCATAGCTTTGCCAAACCAAAATCTGCAATCTTGGGACAGAACTCATCATCTAGAAGGATGTTGTTAGGCTTGATATCGAAATGGATGATGCGGGCGTTGCAACCCTGGTGTAGATACTCCAACCCTCGTGCGATACCGATCGAAATCTTTAGGAACATCTCCCATCCGATGGCTTGTTTGGAACTCTCTGAATAAATGTGCTTCTGCAAAGAACCATTGGACATGTACTCGTAGACAAGCGCTCGCTCGGATCCCTCTAAACAGAAACCGAGTAGCTTGACAATGTTAACATGAGAAGTCTGGCCGATACTCATAACTTCATTCAGAAAATCTTCTCCGTTGCCTTTTGATCCTTTCAGTAGCTTCACTGCAACCATTCTGCCATCCTGCAGGCTTCCCTTGTATACCACACCATATCCACCTTCTCCTAGCTCATCCTTGAACGATCTCGTTATTTTCTTCAGTTGTGAGTACTTATACCTCTTCAGGGCAAGAGATTCACATTTTCTTAGCATTTCATCGATATTCGATGTATTGCTGGCGTAAATTCTGAAGATTGCTGATTTGATACTTTTCTTCTGGCGGTACATCAGACATGCAAGACAGGCGAAAACCAAGCTAGCCGCAGCAGACAGCGAAACTGAAAGTGCAGAAAAGGTACAGTTAGAGGTGAGCAACTGAACATGAGGCAGCTTAAAACATTAGGTATACTATAATACTTTAGACAGCAAAACATTATTAGAATTCTGACCTATTAAAGTGATCTTTCTGTTGTGTTTAGTATCTGCACGAAGATGAACAGATTATCAATATAGTGATGGTATTGCATATTCTGACAGAAAATATGCATCTCATGGCAGGCAGCTTACCACAAGTGGACGGGTGCATGCTACCATCTGAGCAAAGGCACGCGAACGCTGATGTGTTGGCATCGTAGCGGCACCGCCCACCGCTTGCCTTGCAGACATTGCAGTCACCGACGGGATCCCACTCCAATAGGAACCCGCCCTTTATGAGCTGTCTATAATTGGCCGCCGTCATGCCTGCCGGCTCTGCCCCGAGCACCGGAAATATGGAGGTATCGCAGCTCCCTTCGTTCACCGGCGGCTGGCCTGTGCCATAGATTCCCCCGAGGTACACGTACATTCCACTGCTGTTGTCCCTGCAGTTGGTCACCGGGACGGCCCCGGGCGGTGGACGCCTCTCTTTGCAGCTGGAGAGCACGTAGAGCTCCCTGTTCCTGCGGCTGATGCTGAACCTGTCGGTAATGGCGAAGGCCGAGGACACGTTGAACATGATGGTGCACGCGGTGTCGGCGGCCAGGAGGGCATGGACGACGACGAGGGAGCGGCTGCCGTAGTCGATGTCGAGGACCTTCATGTAGGAGGTGCTCAGGAAAGCACCAGACACGGAGTTGTTGCACGTGAGCCGGAACGCCGGCGGGCCGCAGGAGAACTGGTCCTGGCCGGCCAGCCAGAAGGGGTACGCCAAGGTGAGGTTCCCGCATGTCGCCGGCGGGCAGCCCGCGTCTTGGGCGGTGCCACTCGCGGCGGCAGCCGGCTGATGCAAGGAGGCCAAGATTTGTAAGATTGGTAGGAGTAGCAACGAGCTGGGATGCATGTCTGAATTTTGTATATTTTGTGTATATTTTGTGTGCAGCAGAAAGCCTTCAAGAAGGCGATGATTTGAGACTAGAACAGCTCATCCTGGTTTTGCACTCAAGTTTGTGGTGCAGTTTCGACTTGTCTCGCCGCGTGCAGCCGGCTAATTTGACTTTAGCATTCCATGCCAAAAATGTCGCTACCCTATGTCTATCAGTCTACGTAACACGAGATAATTGTGGACGGTCAGTCTCTGGTGTTGAATTCTACTCCCTCTGTCCCAAAATGTAAGATGTTTTTTAACACTATCATAGTATCAAAAAACGTCTTACATTTCGGGACGGAGGGAGTACTTTTCAAGGGTGAACATGTCTCAGTGTCTTCTGAATTTCTCTTCCTTTTCTTTCTTTCTTTTTGACTGAACTGTTTCCTTGAGCAGCCGTTTGATGCCCGATGCCCTTGAGTTTGGACAAATCACTTTCAATGGTTACGATGGATTTGTGCGGGAATTTGGAGAAATCACTTTCATTTTCTGCAGGAAACAGTGATAAATCTCTGAACTCCAACCCCTTGAGTTTTCAGCCTTGGTCTGGAGACTTTGTGGTTCAGTATTTTTTTAGATAGCTAACCGCTCATGCCGAGCGGTGTTCAGTACTTCCATTTGACAACATGTCTTGCTGCTTCTTGTTTATGAGTACAGCAGCTAGGTGGCCCAGTCATGAAAGTTATTAGGTGTTTCCTGGAAGAATGAATTGTGAATCTTCATCGACAGTATATTTTAGATGATTGTCTGTCTGATAGTCCATGGTTCGTGAAAGAAGTGCCATCAAATGAACTTAAAGGTAGGTCTGATATGTAGTTACTTCAGCAGTGTGTGGTTTTTGTCGCAGCAGGAGGAGACTGCGGATGTGCGGGAGTTTTGACGGAACCTCGTCAGAGGGTGGAGTGCACCCGCATTGCATTAAGAACTATAAGAAGAGAGTTAACGGGGCAGTCGGTCTATGCGCGAGAACCCCACCTTGGCAGCAGCCTTACGGTGCGGTTGGGCTCGGCCTCGTCCTGGTGAATGGCGCCATTGGTGGTCCATCCATTCCTCGTCTCCATCAGGTGAAGGCTGTGGCGGAGCAGGCAATGTTGCACGTAGCGACAAGGTGGGTACTCCGTCGAGGAGGAGCTGCTACAGTAGAAGGGTGTTCCTATGTACTTGTTGCTCATGTTATAGTGCAGTTACTCAATGTATCCACCTTCTCCTAGCTAGTTCATCTTTGAATGATCTCATTATTTCTTCAGTTGTGAGTACTTATATTTATACCTCTTCAAGGCAAGAGGTTCACATTTTCCTAGCATTTTGTCGA